TGACTTTTGTTGTGATTTGGCGCTATATAAATAAATTTGAATTGAATTGAATTGTTTCTCTATTTCCAATCTGTATGTCAAGCTTAGCTAATTGGAGTCTGAGCTTTAGACTAAGGGCACCAGCTGTCTAATTCAATCATAAAAACACTCTAATGTCAGTGACTAGCAGCAGGTGTTGGCGGTGTTCTGCAGAAAAAACACTGGGTATATTCATTAAAACGTCAAAGCTACCGAGTTGTTTACAATTTGAAATTATTATTCAAAGACGTGTCTATTGCTATATATACATATATTTTCTGCAAACCCAATAATGCTGATTTCTGAGTCAAGAACCATTAAAGATTGACAGAAAATAACTTCATGCCCTGTATATGTGAGACTTTTCATCTTCCTGTATATTTACAATGTAGATACTAAGCATAAGATTGAGAGAGCAGTCTCTGCTTGTGACTCCCCAAGCTGAAGCTATCACTCACTCCTTATCATCGCCTTGCCCACTCAATCCTCTCCTGGATGAAGAATGTCAACCACTTTCTTACTTTAATACAACCACTTTATGCCCGCTAGCAGGAAAGTGCCCCATGTGACACGACAGCTTTTCATTTTAACTTAGTATAATACATACACCAGTCGGCCACAACATTAAAACCATCATGACCTAATGTTTTTCAGCAGAAAACTGACTGCACCGAACTGCATTGCCTCTGCTAGCAGCCACTCGCCAACCCCTCCCTGCTTAAAAAACATGCCTGCTTCCATTGCTCTCCATTGTAGCTACTATCAGAAGTGTTTACACGGACATGCATATGTGTCTGTGTTTTCTGACATGGCTCCATCATAGCCAGCTTTAAGGTTTGTGCTATAGTAGCTGCACAGCACAGCCTTTGCTCCCTGCATGCATCAATAAACCCTCATGGGTTTGCTGGTTGTTCATTGCACCTCTTTTTGTACGCACTAACCAGAGAACCAAGAAGCTGTTTTAGTGTTTTACAGATGATTCAACCACCTGTTTCTGCTTCTAACGCATAAACTTCAAGAACAAGAACAATACAGCCCACCCTTTCACAGGTGCCACTGGAACAAGATAATCAGTGTCATTCATTTCACTTTTCAGTGGTTTTAATATTGTGCCTGATCAGTACCTAGTCTATTTTTATTATAGTTATTACAGGTTCAAGCTTACACCTTTACCAAACTCACCTACACGGTAACTCTTACAGTGCTGTCAATGTGAACGTTTCTTTACGTGTCAAGTGAGGGTAACACACGCTGTAACAAAAAGTCAATTCCAGCCTGCTATGAAGTGGTTTCAGCAGAGTTATGTGCTTTCCCACAAATAATTATACAGCATATATAAAAATTGAACTGTTAAAACTTCAGCTCATTCTTCCTTGACTTGTAAGTGCCAACTTCCTGCCAGCTGGGGTTTGCATGGCCCTTGTTACATTCATCACTCACCAACTCCTAATCTTCATGCACTCCCAGCGTTTCTGTTAAAGTAACCAGCTTAGAGCAAACGGCTGGAGAGCCTCAGTCAGCAAACTCCCCCTATTAGCGCTTCTGCAAAATGTTCGGACTTTGTATTTGACAGCACATCCAGATAATAAGTGAAGACATCCGTTATTATCTTCATGATTAAAGCGCAGAGCAGCCAGAGGTGAAGAAAATGCAATAATATATATTGCTTGCTTTGCCGTGGCACCATGGAGACCTTATAAGTGAGTCTGAGCACATTTCATTTAGTTCACTAGGCATTTAGGGATATAGTGAATCTTCAGTTGTAGAATTTGTCAATGAATAAAACTGCAGAAAATCACGTTGTATATATTTCAAAGAAACTAGACAGAATTTAAAATGTAGTCCTTTAATTCCTTCTAGTCTATGTGCCAGTGAGGATGTAGCTCTGCTGAGAGGGTGAATTATCATAATGTATGCCAAAGAAAAGGCCTGGAGAGGGAACACAGATCATGGGGGACTTTCTCAATGTCTGGCTCCCCAGGCATTTGCCATCGGACACTAGAGTCTTTGTGAATAGATAATCTTCTCCTATGAAATTATGTGGAATACTGGACCATAAAATCAGTTTCATGCCTGTTATAAAATCTTAAAATGCTTGGTGAGGCATTCATATAATTGGTCATTAACCTCCACAAGCCCTCCAGAAGCACCATTGTCCTTGCTAACTCCCACTGGTTTTGTCTAATAACAATATTTCATGTTGACATTGGCCAAATATCCTACATCCCATGCACAAAACCACTGCTGTCCTCTTACATATTATTGAGGAAAAGCAGTTGCATATTTCTCCCTGTTACAAAAAGAGCCCACACTGTTCTTTCTGCTGGTCGGTAAAATTAACAAGGGAGGAACGTTTCCCAGAAATAAAGTTGTAAAATTGCAAATGACTTTGCCTTGAGTTATTCCAAGAAAGTACAAACTTTGATGAAATGTCTGAAGATGTCGTTTGTTCTGCTCAGGTAGCAGGCACACTGCTGCGCTCGAACCCCCAACAAAACAAGTGGGCGGATGCGACTGCGAGGGTATAAATCAAACACATTGCAGCTTTCTACAGCAGCAATATCTGCCTCTAACAAGGCTTACAAGATTCCTTGACAACCGGTCGAGGCCCTTGGAATGCCGCTGCAACTGTTATCTTCCCGCAGCGTGTGAACTGCTGGTCAGTGCGGGTGATACGGCAGGCAATTATGTCTGCCCACGTACGTGAGCAAGGGACAATTGTTTGAAAAAGTTTTCTGAATGAAATACATCTACTAGGCTCGCATTCATATGAAAAGAATTCTGATATTGTTTCTTATAAATCTAAAGCTAGAAATGCTTCAAGAGAAGTGTGCGCAATTTTCAAGAAGAAAAATTCAGCTGCTAACTCTTGAAATGGATAAAGTGTCTTGTGTGGTAAGTGGCAAAACAAAACAGATATATAAGATGAGCCAGATAGGGGTAGGAAACAGCATTTGCGTCCTCCTTGTCCCTTTCAAACAAGAAATGGTCAATATTTTGTTGTTCGTCTTTGACTTGGCATTTATGTGGGGTTTTTTTTAATGTGTATTAGCACTTGTTACATAAATGTTTGAAATAAAGATTTGATTGATTGACTGAGTTGTTTCAATGAGAGAAGATCCTGTAACTTTACAGTTTAAGTCCTGTAACAGTTAAAGTTTAAGTTTCATAACTTATTTTATTTTGAAAAGAATATTTAGCATTTAAGAAAAGTTGATTTTGCTTTGTTATAGCGGCAAATTCTTATTGGCATGGCACACTTGGAAAATAATTGGAAATTGGAATTGGTCAAGAGAACTGTCTCTATAGTGACATTACAGCTGGCCACACTTGTTGTTATCATAACTTGATAACAAGCTTGAAGTGCTGACTTAAAATAAGAAGCAAAAGCAGGTGAAATCAGACGAGGTGTAATTGCTGAAAACATCTGATGTTAAGTTGAGTCCCTTTATGAGCACTTAAAGAGCTGAAAATGCTCATGAATGCACAACACCTAAAAAACCTAACAGCTTAAGGTGAAGCGGTGGACGTGTCTGTCAGTGAAGGAATGAAAACAGCTAAAATGTCAGCTGAACTGTAGTCAGTGATAGTAGTTCCCTTCTGTACTTAAATCCGAGGGCAGCAGAGATATGAGAAGGAAAATTTGGCGTATTGCTTGAAAAGTGAAAATGAATAACCTTTAATTGTGTGGTCATGTTTTTGTAAACTGTAATGACACTATTCTTTATGGGTAACAGTGGTCAGGTCATTCGTTGGAGAACAGAAAGAAAATTTGCCCTTCAAACAAAGCGTTTAACATTTGTCACTCCCTATCCATTTCCACTGGGCCAAAGACTGGCTTTGTTAGAAGTAAAATCCAGCCAATGTGACATAACATGCACAGGAGATGGATCACCAAAAATTGAAGGTGACACTTTGAATTGGTCGGCATTAAGGTAAGATTGTTCTTGTTCTCTAAGGGGAGAGTTAAAGGGGCTTACTTCTATAGTAGACAATTTTCCTAGTAAATCCCTCCTATTACCTTTCCCTCCCATGAATAACTTAGTCGCCCTTGATAACACAACCCTGGGACCACATCCTCATTTTCTCTCCATTGCTGACCAATTTTAGCAGATATAGGTTGATTTGCAAAGGGGTGGTGGTGTTAGTGCACAGAAGTGTACCTTTTGTCTCTTCCGTAGAGTGAAGTTCTTCCACAGGAGCAGAGTGAACTGCGTCAGGAGACCCATTACGGCTTATCCTGGCAATATCCTGCCAAAGCGTCGCTATGGCAACTGGCCCACTTAATAAACCCTGGAGGGAATAAAAGGCAGAGTTTGGTTTTAATACAGAAGAGCGATGCATCTTGGGGGAGTGCCACTAATCATTCACTTCCCCAGGCCTTGGGGCTTATGGTGCAGCACCTGTTCTAAGAATTATTATCACCTACACTCAGCACATCTCAGGACGGGGGCTCAGCTCGTGGAGGTTACGCAGTTCGGGTCTAGCAGTCAAAGAGTTTTTATTAAGGACCGTGCGGGTGTTTTATATATACTGCTTATTAAACAAGTATATAAGCAAAATCTCTTTTTTTGCTGTTGTTTTGCCTTTAAAGGAGGAACGTAGACTCTAGTCTTTGCCTCATTGACTACACTTGTGCAAATTCCCTGTCTATTAATCAGTCTCTTTAGTGACCAGAGAACAATAAAAGTCAGGGGGGAAAAATACATGGGCAACTGCATCACTTTTCATGTGGACCAAAGACTGCCATAAAATATTTATTACATATTTTACTATCTACTCACCCCTGATTACACAGATAATAAACAAATAGGTCTGCTGTGTCATTTTTACACTGCTACATCAAGTATGACCTTTATTAAAAACTCCACAGCTGACAGTCCTCCCACTGACTACGGTTAATTTATCTGCTCGTCGTGGCATCCGAATCAGTCCGCTGAGCATTTTGGTCCGAGTGCTATTAGTTTCATGCGTTTAAAGAAAAGGCACATGCTCAGGTGTAACATATGCCTACGGATTCCTACGTACGGGCATTAGCCTGCGTTTCTACATCAATTTACAGTTTTTATGCGAGCAATTAATGTAAGAATGGTCAATTTGACTGCACATATAACCGCAGCAGCTGGGCACGCACACATTTAACATAAACATTTATAACATATTAAAAGAAAACAGTGGAGGACTCACACATACATGATTTCTGTTAGAGAGCACACTGCAAAGTGTGACAACTTTACTGATGAAGTCATCATCTGTAAACATTTACAAACAATACATGAAATAAACATGTAACATTTTTCCATAATATATTAATAATTTATTTATTCTCCATTTTCTAAAATGCAAACATATTTAATACTTATACACCTACAGTGTCATAGTTACAAAAGGTAAGGGCCCATATGCAAAACTTGCTGTCTGGCAGGTGTTGATGACAAACTTGTTCCATCACGCTGGTGTGACAAAAGTCTACAGACTGTTTGCATGAGCGATGAACACAGGCGATAAGCAAACAGATGGACTGACAGGCCACGAGTGGAAAGGTAGGATAGTAAAAAAACAGAACTTTACAGGTGAAACTGAATGAACTCTGGACACACAGTTTAAGAAAGGTGGGACACAAGATAAGACAAGCAGTGATGAAGATGACCAGATGTCGAAAACATAGGGAAAATATGTGGGTAAGATACTTAAAAACACAACAAAAGAACCAAGATACCAGAATGGCAGCGATCCAATAGCTTATCAGGACCGCAATCCATCCAAGGTAACTGCCTATAAATCGCCTGTAAATCCACAAATGTGACCTTGACTTTGAGCACAGTTCGAGTACAAATCTGTTACGTGTGAGTAAAACCCGACCAACACTCCAGGACTGGGATGTCAAAGTCATTTTGCACTGTGGACCCTGTGACGTCCGCTTTGATGTTAAGAAGCCCGGACGACTGAACGTTAACTAAACGTTAACTAACACCTGAGATATTTTAATATAAGGACAGAAGAGCAATTTCAGCATCTCAGATTTTTTGTTGTTGTTGTTTTTTACATGGCAATGAAATACTGCTTTAACTGCAATAAATAAATATGTAAAATAAACTGTTAACTTACACAAATCATCCTTCAAAAACAAAAAGGAATTCTTCTTTGTTAACTGAAAGGATGTGTGTTTTGTTGTTGCTTTTATGTTGCTTTTATTAAGGCACTGTGAAAAAAAATCTCTCTATAGCAGATAGTGAAAAACAGGAGCTTTCTGTAATCTGTTTATCTATTACTTAATTACTTTGGTTATATAAACAGCTCTTCATCAGTAGAAAAAGGCATAGGACTTGTGAAAATGCAGCTAAATGTCTAAAAATGTATGTCATTCTTCACATTTTCCAAAGGTGTTCTTTGGGCTGATTGGCAGGGCGATTCTGGCCACGGGACCTTATGTTTGACACCCCTGCTCTAGAATAAGTAGTGATGGGTGATCCAAAAAAAAAAAAAAGAAGACAGCAGAAAGACGTATCCTGATGCCCGAAAGCTATAGTTTTGGATTTTCAATGTAGTTTTCTTTTTTTATTATTTGATTTTGAATTTCTTTTGTTTTCATTTTACTTTCACTTTAGTTGCCAGAGTGGATTTTGTTATTTCGGTTTGGTTTTTGCTGTTTGAAAATGTAACTTTTAATCGCTTTCAGTGTCAGTTTTAATCTTAAGCAGTTGACTCTCGGCTGTCATGATCCTGCATTTTCTGACTCATTTTTCTGTTTAATGTTTCCCATTTGACCTTGTTGTAGTTTTCAGT